TCAGCTGTTAAAGGCCCCTTCAGACTTGCCCAAAAGAAGGAGAAAGCTTTCCCTAAAGCAATTCATCAGATCTATTTGGGCACAGTGACATTCTCTCAGAGCTTGTGTGGATGAGTAGTACTGAATAGTTCAAGTGTTTGCAGGTGCTTGGAATATTTAAGAAAAAGATCTCTCTCAGTTCTTTTCGTTGTTCCCACGGGCTGGCCAATGCTCACCACTGGCTGATGTCCACCAAGGATCTCACAATTAGTGGTTATATCATAATCGTGACACCTTCCAGCTTTGAGTGCTCACTATGTGCCTAAAGCTGTGCTTTGCTTTTTCCACCCATTATATCATTTAATGTTCACATGTCTGATCTTAGGGCAATGCCTTATTAAATTTATGTCTGTTTTCTGCAGTACGAAAAGTTTGTTGAACTGAATCTTATGCATTATAAACTTGACAAGTACTTACTGTTGCTTTCTCTTACCTAATTGTTGGTTGTTGAATCTAGGGGATGCTCTGATTACCTCAATAAAGGCAGCAGTGATCACATCCATAAACAAATCGTTAGACGTAGAACACATGTGTAAACAAGTAGAGTCTAATTTGCTGACTGTTGATAGACTCAAAACAGTTAAAAGAACAAGCAGCAGATGGGATAAACTTAATTCAAACAACTGGAAACAAGGTGTGGTGCGTTAAATGTCAGTTCAGAATAAAATGAAGTGATTGATACATTTGATTGGAAAGTGAAGAATATTTTAGAGTTATAAAACAGCATTTTGATGTATTTATCCTTTCGTTATCCTAATGTAAGGTAGATGGGACAGATAAATGCATCTGACAATGCACTTGGCTTATTATTTTTTGTTATGATTTGAACCTTGTCCACTTCCCAGCATATCTCCCACTACTTATCAAATGACTTGCATGTTTCTGACCAGATTAAGGCCTTTCAAAAACTCCTGTGTCTTTGTGCTGTTCCCTCCGCCTGGCATGGCTTTCCCATCTCCACTTGCCTAACTCCTTCTTGTTCTTGAGGACTGCATTTGAACATCCCCTCCTCAGACAAGCATTCTTTGAATTGTCCCAGGCGCGGCTCTCCCCCGTCTTCCTCTGGACTGCCACAGTGCCCTGTGCATACCTCCATCACCCCATTTGATATGTGGTATTATAATTTTCTGTTTACTTGCCAGGTGCACTGAACTGTGACTCTTTGGAAGCGTGGTCTGTCTGTCTGTCTTTTATGGTTTTATTTCTGTTTTTCAGCACCTTGCCAAGTCTACACAGAATGTGGACTCAATGAGCAGTTGCACCTTGAAGGAGTGAATATATTCACGTATATCATGGATATTGGTATTTTGTTACTTCCCCAACTCCCACATCCCTACACAGAGACACACATATTCTCACTGCATTCTGGTGTCTGTAGATTGTGAGCAGCCTCATCCATGGTTTTCATTGTAGTTGTTGAAGCTCAAAGTCATGATCTGGCAGAAGTGACTACTAGAAGAATGTACTTCATGTTGAGTCCCGTTGTCCTTGTGTCCAGAATGTGCTTGACATTAGACCTCTTCTAGTGAAATTTCAGGGTGGTTTTATATCAGCACTATGGGAATGCGTTCATGTTAAACAAGAATATGGAAATATAAAGAAAGGCAAAGAATCGGGTTCAGACAATGCAACAGAAATGGGGCTGGAAGCCGGAGCTGTGAAAAGAGCCCATCTGCCCACTGCAGACTGTGATCCAGGCTCAGCACAGAGGAGTCGGTGTCTGGCTTCCACTCCCCGTTTGCTCCCCTCGTCTGCTCTCTGCTCATTACTTGGTTCCCTTTGACAGAACATGGGAGGCAGACACGGATTGCTTGGGAGCGGGCTTTTACAAGTGTGATTTAATTCCATTTTGAAGTTTCTGTCAAAAGGGCTGATTTATTTTCCTCTCATGGGTGCATTATGTATGTGTTGCTATGTGAGATCAGTGAATTCAGAAAGGCCCTCCATGCTTTGGTCCACAGACCCTCAGCCGTGCAATGCAATGCGGCAGCTGAGAGAAGCAGAGAGCCATGCTGAGCTCTGGAATAGACAAAGGCACAAATCCCATCTGGGTCTCCTTCAAAGCAAGCTGCTGTTTTGCAACAATCTACCCGTAAAAAAGGTTCTTACCAGTTTACTTAATGGGTGACTGGCCCTTTTGCTTTTATTTAGCCATCTGTTCTGGTCTATGTCCCTTTCAACTTGTAAGATCCGTCACCTCATTTAAGCTGTTACCTTGACACATTGCGATGTTGTGGACATAGTGATTCCACAGAGGAGCAAATTAAAACAGGTTTTCATGATTAGAAAGTTAAATGAGGTAAGGCTGTGGTAGTTACTGGTGAGATGAGGGGTTTTGAGGAGGCAGAACTCAAGGGACTTTCAGGTGATTGGAAGATTGGGCTGGCTGGACAGGGGGATGGATGGGCTTTTATACATCACAGGAGCTGAACAAGAGCAAAGACTTCTTTTAGGTGTGTCTGACTTTGTGGCCTTGCTCTGCTGCCCTGACGGAGACTCTGACCGGGGAGGATACAGGGGCCACCTTTGGGTTTCTTTTCTCCTTTGGGACATTCTGTGACAAGTAAAAGGAAGCCAATTCCACCAGGAAGTGGCGAGCTAAAAACACAACAGCACCCATTCCCAGAAAGTTACTTAGTTCCCCTTAAGTTTGAAGAAGAAGCAGGGGCGAAGCCCAACTTCAGGAAGGAATACTTCACTGTGTCTTTGAAATGGAGTGGGACCCTGTGGTCCCCCCCACCAACCCATGTCCTCCGCCTGCCTTTTGTCTGTGGAAAAACTTTAGCCAGAGAATAAGTTTAATCAGAGAAGTGAGAAAATGCAGAAGCAAAGGAAAACAGTCCAGCAAGACTAAATAATAATAGTTTAGTCAGTAAGCCTAGTTGAGGACCTTTAGCTCCTTCTTAAGGGCTATAGATAACATTCTGAGCCGTATCCTGTGAGCTGTCTCATAGATACTGAAATCCCCACCAGGTGGAAGAAGTTAACTACATGATGACAAGACTGTAGCCATGACATAAGCTGCCACAATTATGAGAATTGGCTTCAAAGAAATAGGAACCAACCGACCCTGGAACTTCAGACTAACTGTCCCTAACACAATCAAGATGATGCTGATCAGACCGCCACATGACTAATTTCAAGATGACAGAGCTGATAGACACCCCCCCCCATCTTTAAAAGCTCTTGACCACTGGTTGTCAGTGCGGGGGCCACTCAGCCTTTGGGCAGGCGTCCACCCTCCCCTGCGGTGCTGGCACCCAAAAAAAGCAAACTTTCCTTTCCATCAACCTTGCCTCTTTAGTACTGGCTTTTGAGCAGCAAGCAGCCGGACCCCCGCTTTCGGTTACATGTCTCCAGGGTGACCCTGGAGACAAGGCTGAGTTGTTCCTGACATCTGCCCTCAGCTCTGCTCTTTCTTCTTGCTCTAGACTTGACTTTCTGCCTGACCCCTTGATGGCTCCGTCCCGATGATCCATCAGTCCTTGAAAAGTAGGACTTAGAAAGCCAAGGGCTTCGTCTTCTTACTCTCTTAAATCAATTCTGCCCTAACCACCCTGGTTTCTCCTGATATGATCAGTATTATTGAAGTTACCTGGACTCAAAATCTCAGGCATCTCTGAATTTTCTATCTGCCACTTCTATCCAATCTTCTAGCCAAGTTCTCTGTCTTCCACCTAAATTGAGTTTCTCATGTCTTTTCTCACCTTTTTACACTCCCTGCCACTGCTCTCATTTCCATCCCTCCTAGCCAATTGGGATGCTCTCCTAACTAGTGCTGCCTATCTTTGGTTTCTCCCTGCTCCAAAGCACCTTACACACTGGCGTTTGATTATAACTTAAAACATTCACATTTCAAAAATTAAACAAACAAACATCTCCTTCTGCTTTCCATCAACTAACAAATTCAGTAGAGACTTCTCAGCTTGGTATCTGAGACAGTCCATAAAGTTATCATTTGTATTTTCAGCTTTTTCTTCTTCTCTGTGTCCCAGTAAAACAAAGTGCTATGTGGCTATGAATAACGTCATGTTTTCTTGCCTCCTTACTCTGTTTCCTCTTCCTAGAAAGCTCTGATCACACATCTCTATTGATTAAAATGCATGAATTTTATCAAGCTCAGTCTCAAATACATCTCTCCTTTCCCATGGCAGTCAGATGCAGTTGCTCCTACTCTGGTTTGATAACAACATGTTTAGGGGATGTTATTATGCTGCTTGACGTGGATTTTTTTTTCCTACTCTTATTGTTAGCTTTTTGAATCCTTTGCGTATCGTATAGCACAAAGTTTCCTTCCTGTAGAGGGTGCTAGGTAAAGAAGCGGAATATGATTTGTAAGGAGACTGGGTCTATAAGAATGTGAAAAATCCATTTATTCATTCACTCAGGTGTTTGTTGGGTGCCTACAGTATGTAAGGTACTGTGTTAAGGACCTAGGATACACAGAGCAGTATGGCACAGTACGCCCCAGTTCTCCAGGAACTCAAAATTACATGCAGGAAAAGTCACATAAGGAATTATACCATGAAAAATGCACAACAGTAGAAGTGCCTTCAAAGTATTGGAGTGGCGGGACTTCTTACCTCTATTAGGGCAGATAGGTTGGGGCTGAGGGGATAATGGTGGGGAGGGAATTGAGGAGTTAGGAAAGGCTTCCTGTAGCTGGGAATGTCTGACTTGGGTTTTGAAAACTGCCTAGGAGTCACCAAGGAAGGTAGGAAGGTAAGAAGGGACTGGAATGGGATGGAAAGATAATCCAAGAAATCTGCTGTTTGTTCTCAGAGGCTCAGCACACTAGGGCAGCCTGGTCACCAAATGATTATATTCTATCTCCAAGTGAAATATCCTAAATGACAAAGTCCTTTGATCCCTTTGAAAGAGAAAGGGAGAGGAAGCACCTCTCAGAGACTGCTTTTGACTGAGAGTCATTCATTCTTCTTTTCTTTTTGACTGTTTTGTAGAGAAAGTCTGTGATTGCAGTGAGCTTCATAGCAGCGTTCCTCTTCCTGCTGGTTGTGCGCCTTGTGAATGAAGTGAATTTTCCATTGCTACTAAACTGCTTCGGACAACCTGGTGCAAAATGGATACCATTCTCCTATACATACAGGCGGCCCCTTCGAACTCACTATGGATACATAAATGTGAGGACGCAAGAGGTAAGACCTCAGAAGGTTACATAGGGTTTGAGGGTATCCATGGTAACAGCTTTTCTTTAGGAGCAAGGTGGCTTGCAATCAGTGAACTCAATGAACTCAGTAATGTCTGCCCCAGTGAGCTTCTTTGGGTCCCTGACATTTTCTGTTTTCTCCTTCTTAGACATTTACTGACACACGTCTAAAGTCTGCTGCCCCTCCTACATCAAATCTTCTGATTCACTGGCTTCATGTGGAGTTGAGGAAGCAATTACATGTTTTCCTGGTGGTTTGTGGCATAACATACATATCTTTCCATTTAGAAACTCTGATCAGCAGTGACCAGCTGGAGAACTGGCTGGCTTTATTTCTTGGAGGTCAACTGGTTGGGGACGGCTCTTTGTAGAACTGCAGAGAAGCATTTATACTCTTTAAAACTCTGTAATCCTTAGACCTGGAGCTAGAAAAGGCCAAGCTGATTTAAAAATTCTCAGTGGCTGCAGAGAAAATGGGGTTTAAAGAGTTTCCAAATTTAAAGGGGTTAAAATCATTCAAATCCTATAATCACTGAACCTCTAAATCTTTGTAGCCAATTGATGGTACAGAAGAGGATGGAGGTATATTGACAAGTAGAAAGTATACACTGTGCCAGCACTTTTGCAAGCAAGGATTTGTGTCATGGAGCGAAGTAGAAATAAAATGGACCTCACAAAATGTATGAAGTGTATAGAAGTGATTAATAAAATTGTTTTCACCATTTGTTTCAATGGAGTGGGATGAATGTGAGGTTAATATTCATCGATGCCAAGTCCAAGCCTGTTGGAAGTTGTTGGTGACAAAGGTACAAGTCATTAGTGTGTCTACATCACTGGGAAGAGTTTTGGATCAGATCCCGTTGAAAGGTCATTTTTGCAAAGATAGGAGAGAGGAGAGTTACCCACAGAATGCTACTCCCATCCCAAGAGTTATTCTTAGCATCAGGGAGGGATGTTGAAAACTGGCTTGGTCCAGACCCTTTTGTAGGCAATTTCACGCCTGAGTCATTGCTTCTGGTTAGTTTGATTCTTTGAAAATTGTTTCTATATCTGCAGGATTTACAAGCTTTTTATTAGACCTTTATAGTTAAAAAAAAACAAGGCACCATTAATAACATAAATTTTTAGGAGCCTTGATGTTTATCCTTTAATTGGCTTTGAATTAATTTTTTTAAAAGTGTCTACTGCTTGAATTTGTTGAGTGTCCTAATAAATTGATTACCTATATAAAAATGTATCTCTTAGAGAATAGTTTGTTTCACTCTTGTCTTTTGCTACTTTTATTTCTGGCTGTCGTTTAATATCCTATAACTCTACTGGATTGTGTTAATCATTTCACAAGTGCCTGTCATGGGTAGAAAATGAAACATGTGACTGAATTGTCTCACGAATTACTTTCATGAGGGAAATCCCACCAAAAAGAGCCTTTCATTTGTTTAAATGTTAATAGGCTGGATTTTGGAGTGCTAAGGGGAAAACCGGCCTAGGGCTGCAGTTATTTAATTAGACATATTAACCAGCCACCTTTGAAATTCTTTTGGTATAATTTTTAATACAATGACTTTACTACGGGATATTGATCATTATTTTGATCATGTGGAGGTAATTTCTTGAGAGGGAACATGATTACTGGAAAGAGTTTTTAGACTACAGAGGCACACAGGCATGATTTTGAGTGCTAGTTCTCACACTTACAAAAACAAGGTCAACTAGCAAGTTATTACGAGGATTAAATAGGACAAAGTGCATGAGGTGCCCAGTTCCAAATTGATGTTCAATGAATGAGTTTCTTTTGCTGTCCCAGTACTTACCAGTTATGACATGAAATGCTCAGTGTGAACAACACCAAAATACCAAAGTCTAGAGTGCCAGACTTTAAATTTTAAAGGATCTGGATTCAGAAAGTAAACATATGAAGGAGTTCCCAATCTCATTAGAAATCAGAGTTTTGCAAATTAAAACCACGATGAGAAGGAAGAAAACAGCACAAGGAGGTAAATGTACACTAAATGTCAGATTGGCAAAACGTCAAGAAACCAACAATACCAAGTGTTGGTGATGATGTGGAACAATAGAAACTCATATATTAGCGGGGGAACAAGCACTTTGGAAAAAACAGCTTCCCATTATCGATTAAAGCTGAAGATCTGCGTGCCCTATGTCCCAGCATTTCCAGTCATCCGTATATTCACTAGAGACATGCATGAGCACATGCAGTGGGGGGCGTGGATGACGTGTGTAGCAGCATTATTCATAACAGCTAGAACCTGGAAGCAACCACATGTCTCTCAGTAGGAGAATGGTTAAAATTGTGCTACATACACTGGAATACCACACATCGTTGGAAATGAGGAAATTGCAGCCATATGTGATAATACGTATGAATCTTAGACAAACATAATTTTGAGCAAAAGATGCAAAAAATGAGAGAATACAAACAGTGTGATTCAATTTATAGATCACAGGAAGAGACAAAACTAAACGATGTTGTTTAGGGAAATGTATAGGAGGTAAAACTAAAAAGGAAAAAAAAAGAGCAAGGGAATTAGATATCACGTAAGTGAGAAGAGCAGTTACCTCTGAGAGAAATGTGTGGTTTGTGATTAGTGCGAGTTTCTGAGATATCAGCAACATTCTATCTCTTGATCCAGCTGGAAGTTACATGGGGGTTCACATTCTGAATATTTATTAAATATGCATTCATGTTGTATGCACTTTTCTCTGTCTATTTTATAATAAAAAATTAAAAATACATTCTGAGCCCATGTAGGATATTTATTGACTGGAATCACACAAAGCGTTTTCATCTACTTTAACAGCAAGAAACATTTAACTAAAAAAAGCAATGGGATAGTAACCTATCTAAAATAAACTAAAAATATTTGAAATAGGCAATTTCATTTTATGTAAAAACTAGCAGATATACAGCTAACTTATTCCTCTAGTCTATGCATGATAGAAAGGGAGGCCCCAGGCTGTGACATTAGTACAGGTAATAAGCAGAAAATTTTGCATGGAAGTTGAAAAAAAATGTATAACACTCCAAAAGAATGACAGATTTCCCTCCAAACTCAGATAGTTCTAGGCTAAATTGGGAGGAAAACAAATTTTGGTGACTCTTGTTGATTTCATCTTTCCTTCTCAAAATTCTACCTTTCCCACCCCCGTGTCTGTGCTCTACTCTTAGCCCAAATTCTCTGTGCATTAGTCCTCACCAAATAATGGCTTCAAGCGCAGGCCTTGCCAGAGATAATTGTATTAGACTATTAGACTCAGAATGAAAAATCTTCAAGAGCCAAAGTAATATAGCAAAAATGATAAGTGGTGGGCTTGATGTTCTGGGGCAAATAGCTATAATAGTGGCCCTCAAATTTTGCTTCAAAGATAACTACACACTCCTGTGTGCCTATTCACTCTATTCTAATCCAGAGAAGGGTCAATAGCTATGGCTGAGCTGAGTCAAGTGGTAACCAAGATAATCTATTTATTTGAAAATCTTGGTCCTTGAGGGTTTTTCAGAAATTTCTCAGAAGAAAGCACATGCTTTCTAGAAACCACCAGAAGTCCAAGAATTTTTTTAAACACAGAGACATGCCAGCAATGACTTCCAGACTTAGAGCATCTGCAAACATGATCATTGTTGATGATGGTTTTATGGCCCAGTGCTTTAGCTGGATCAGACATTGCTGCCACTAGACAAAAATTTTATGAGTGGAAATGTTTACAAGAAAGAATGTCTCTCCACTACTGTCTAAAAAAAGATGGGGCGTGGGAGTGGCAGGATTAGGTTGAAGATTTCGCGGACACTGGAGAGCTGAGTTGCTTGGGAGCAAAATTTGCTTCTCTTGTTATCTTTAAAAACACACCATTGTAAAGCAATTATACTCCAATAAAGATGTTAAAAAAAAAAAAGAAATAGTAAGTGAAAAATAAAAAAAATTAAAAAAATAATAAAATAAAAAACCAAAGATGAGATGAGTTCCGGTCCCTTTGGCTTGGCACAAGCGGAAGTATAAGCAGTCTCATGGATCTGATAGTCTGTCGTGAAGGCCTCCCATATAGTAAATTATACCCAGTTCAAGCTCGGCTTCATTTTATCAATTCACCTAGTTTTTGAATGGTCTGCTCCCAAAGGAAGTACAAGAAGTAAATGTACAAAGAACACAGGAGAGATAAATAGATGGACTCAGTTATATTTCATATGGTTGGAGTATTTTTTTTCTGGTCCAGATCCATAAAAAGGAATATGCAGTGAAAACTATGAGGACTAATCTAGAAGAGTTAAATTGAAAGAAATAAAATACCCATCCCACCACAATAATGACAGTCTATATATAATATATAATATATATTATATATAATATAAAGTTGGTGATTGGCTCCCAGTTTTTGCCCTGTCCCCCTTCCCTTTCCTAACCAGTATAGACTAAAGTTCTTATATTTGGGGGAGAAGTCTTGAGAAGCAGGGAAACAAAATGAGTGCCAACTAACTCGGTGAGTGCTGAAATGCTGAAAGTCCCTGCTGGCCACAGAACCCAGAATTCCTCTTCAGCACTTACGTTTGAGCTGACCGCCACCAGGAGGTAGTGCCATGCTGAAGCTGGGACCGGGAAAGATTTAGATTTTGCAATAGGTCCTATACTTCCCCTGTGTCCCACCCCTGCTTTAATCCCTGACCTGCTAGCTGTTCATACTTGCCCTCTCATGTGACTACTGGTTAATAATGCAGCCTTCCATTTTAACAGGACTGAATTTGAGAGAATCCCCCTATAGCTTTATGGCAGTTACTGTATTATCCTTTGACCTCGGACATGGTAAAAAGCATATAACATCTATATGTGTTTCAAAAAAAACCACAGAACTCTGCTTTCTCCTTAATGCAAGTTTTAACGATTCATTTTAAATTAATTGCGGCAGAAAAAACGTATAAAAGACCAAAGTACCGCAGGGCTTGGTTCCAGGTAATGATTGTTTCTCCCAGTTGAGATC